ATTGTGCAATAAAATCTGTCGAATCTTTTACATACGTAAAAAATGGATGTAATCTGTAAGTTTGATCTATCAGACAACTGCAAAGGGAGATTCATTCGCTTCACTTATTGTCCCATTGCTTGAGCATTAACTAAAACCCTATTGTCTAAGCTCAATGGAACCGACACTCGTATGCTGAGATCTACATTTAACATCTCCTGGAGATAAAATCCATCTAAATCACAGCTCTATAGATCCATCTCTAATATTTCTACAATCTTACGCTAATGCAGAATGCTCTTTGCGCATAACTGCTGGCGAGCAAAACAAGAACTCGCAATTAATCTAATGCTCTGAATGCCTAGCCATGAAGCAAGACTGGTTGGTTGCCCATCAACCACCTACATTGACCTGCTATGTTATAAGACAGAATGACACCCTAATAACCTCCCGACCTTGATGCAGTTGATGGTTGGCGTTATGGTTGGCGTGATAGACTGAATGAATATCCGAGCTATAGCCCGATCGAATAATAATAAGCTGGTTAAACTTTCTCCGTGATTAACCTCGACGTATCCCATTTTTCAGTAACTGTATATTTTCTGTCCATGATGCGGTTTCATACGAGGCAAGGGTCACAATTTTTTGTGATGTCAACGAACACTCGTTTAACACTTTTGTGATGCCAATGAATAATCGTTGTCACTTTCGTAATGCTCGTTGTAGTAGAGACTTTGCAATCGCAGATACAACTATAGTAACGCCGTTGAATAATGCTGGTGTCAGACGCCTTCGAATATCACTCACACTAATAGTACTTGCTCGATAATACTCGCTCGAATAGTAACCGCCGAATAGAGAAATAGTATAGTGAAAACAGTAGGGAATAGCGGTCCGTATAGTAACAGAGGATAGAGGAGAAATATCAATCCGTATAGTATAGACGATAGACTAGAAATAGCGATCCTAATAGTATAGAGGATAGACTAGAAATGGCGATCGGAATAGTATAGACGATAGACTTGAAATAGCGATCCGAATATTGTAGAGGATAGACTAAGAATAGCGATCGGAATAGTATAGAGGTTGGACTAGAAATAGAGATCCGAATAGTATAGAGGATTGACTAGAAATAGAGATCCGAATAGTGTAGAGGATAGACTAGTAATAATGATCCGAATAGTATAGAGGTTAGACTAGGAATAGCGATCTGAATAGTATAGAGGATAGACTAGGAATAGCAATCCGAATATTAATAGAGGATAGACTAGAAGTCGTTAGCTATTTCCTGCATATATATGTTTCCTCTATGGTCACGTGGTCTACTTAATTCAATAATGGGATCGTCTGTGTTTGCTCACTAGCGATCTATGTTCGAAATCATGTTTCGGTAGCAACACTTCATTCCTATATAACATAGGCTTTTCTTATTCTGGAATCATTCTTGGATTAAACACTTACTACTTAAAATATCTCTTCAAAATATCGAACTCGTATTCGAGTTTTATATTATTTCTCTAAGAGATATTCCGTCCCCACTTTAAAGATTGAATAAATAAGAATACTATAATCTATAAATATCCAAATGCTCTTAATATTTCATAAGCATTCAGCTGCACATGCGCAATATTTCTAATTTATCAGATGCATGAAAATTTCATAATGTGAGTTTATTGCCCTGCGAGTGTTTAATAAAGATTCAGGTATCTAGATTTTCATCGCTTTACGAATGTTGCTTATTTCTTTCGAATTCATAGCTGATGTTTCTCCGTGAATAGTAAGTGGCATCATGTCTCCTCAAATTTACAGGATTATTCTTTGTTTTCTAGAATATGCCGCCATGTTGACATCACGATAATCTCCATTTAACACTTCCAGACCACATCACAAACGAATCTAGTAAAAGGCGACAGAGGTCATGCTTTCCCTCCTGAGGTCAATCTACTGATGATGTAGGGGAATATCCAGATAAAATGTGTAGTCATAATTTGGGATAAGAATAATCGTGAACATAAAATAAACGTCTTCTACTATGTGTACCAAGAAATTCGACTTTCCCAAAACAGAAACTGTGATATCGCGTTGGAATAAGAGCAGTGATGGAACGTACCCTGAATATATCATAAAGATTAAAAAATATGGAAAAGTGAATACCAAAGCAAGGAGAAATGGCACAGTGGATAAAGGCGTTAGTTAGGACCCAAAGAGTGTGAGTTCAATACCCGGTTAAGGCATGGGAGATCTTGGAGAGGGGAATTAACAGGAGATAACTGATAACTGACATCCATTAAATATAGCACGTGGAACTAGAACATTCTACCCCAGTGAGCGAAATAAAGGGTTCAGTTCGATATTCCAACCATCTGAAGAAGGCCGGAGCGTACAACGGCCGAAACGTTGTAATAAATATAGCGACAAAGATGAGGACAGTAGTCTAAATAATGTAAATAGTGTCCTCAAGGACACATGGCACAGTGGATAAAGGCGTTGGTTAGATCCAGTGACAGGACCAAAAGAGTGTGAGTTCAATACCCGGTTAAGGCAGTGGAATTAACAAGAGATAACTGACATCCACTAAACATGGTACGTAGAACTAGAACAGTCTACTCCAGTGAGCGAAATAAAGTGTTCAGTTCGTTATTCCAACCGCCTGAAGAAGGCCAGAGCGTACAACGGCCGAAACGTTGTAATAAATATGGCGACAAAGATGAGGACAGTAGTCCGAATAATGTAAATAATGTATACAACATCTTTCTCAGATCAATTGTTAGACATGTTTTTCAGCAAGTGAACCGAATAGATCGTGTCCAAGACCATAATTCTTTAGGCATTTCGACAACAGAAATAGCTATCCCGTGGAAAATAATTTCGTAATTAAGATGATGATATTCCACACTACTTCAAATAAACGGTAAGGAAGGAAGCCCCCATCAATACTAGAAAGAGTGATAAATGCTACTGGACTTGGGAAACCTAATTTCCTGGAAAATTGTTTTTAATAGAAAGATTTTATAATTTTCAACAGACGGCAGTAATGGCTACGCCGTTAAGCAATACTGAATGTTTCCTTATAAGGAAAACAGCCAACTTTTACTTTACCATTATTTCCCGAAACGGTAATTCATACAATCTTGTTTCATACTATTTTACACAAATACAAGAGTGTGAATCATTATGGTACATAGCTTTGAACTATTCTCTCTAGTTTTCTCCATTCTCGAGCCGAATTTTGGGGTTTGAACAATTTTACGTTAAGGATTTGGCAAATCATTCTTTTTTTCCTTCAGAACTCTCAGAATTGGTTTTCTCATTTGTATTTAGAGATAGTTTCATAATCCCAATGAATTATATTCTAACAGTTTCTTTCCATGCACTTCTCGCTTGTGGAACTCTCCTTCCGGCTTCTTGCTATCAAGTCAAGTTTGATCTTCAAAAACATAAATGCAATGTTAATCGTTAACATCTGTCTTCTTAATTTGTGTTCTTTTATTATTCTTGCTCCTTAATAATGTCATTCTTGTATTCTTTCACACTCAGTAACCCTCTCCCTGTGTGTTAGTGGCTTTGTTGCCTTGCTTGGCGTGAAAAATAATCATCGTCATCTGTTTCTTTGGAACCTGTTCTTTTAATATTGTCTGTCGGTTTCCATCTGTTGTAACCTAGAAAAGGTTACTGAATGAGGAATAACCAAAACGGAGGTTGGAAATGAAATGGTAATCTTTATAACATCAACAAAATACAATACTCGCCAGCGGCGTGTAGTAGGTAAACCACTGTTAATGGTGAAATACTTAGACAGCATATTACCTTCAGTTACACTAGTGTCTAACGTATTTATTTTTATTTAGGACATACCCATTAGTGTTCAATGGTACGGTTTATAACACCTTCATTCCCAGAAATCTCTTGCATCCTTTATCGACTTGCTTCGGGTGAAATTATTAAAAAGAAAATTATAGACTTAAGCCGCCCTATGATATGGTAGTTTATCATTCATTTTTCCCGATTCTCAGAAGTGATCTTCTCGTCTATATATTTGCGATCGCTCGGGACTTCAGAATCCCAGCGAATTTCATACCTATTATTACCGGATTTCAATGATGGAATTTTAAAAAAAATTATTTACACTGAGGAGGACAATTAACTGATATTCGTACTTTTAAGACTCGTCTATGACCTCAAAGTTTACTCATTCTTTCTTGTGACTCACACTATTGGTCATTTTGTTTGTATTTAGACCTCTGTATCGACTTGTGAGGGTGGTAAATTGGCCGACAAACATATATTCAATAACTGAAAACCACAAACAAAACGAAAACTTGAGTAAAATTAAAAAGCCAACGTTATTTTCGTTATATATATATATATATATATATATTGTTGGGGCCACCCACCTTCTCATCAGAATGGACTGAACTCTCTATTACTAATAGGACAGTTCTATAGAGTTCTGGGAAGATCAGGTGACCATCACACTTCCGTCTCTCTACCGGAAGAGACAGTTGGACTGTATACTCTTTCTGATTGTTACTGACTAACCTGCGTTCGTTTGACTACTAATCTCTCTGTTGTAAATACCTCTTCAGATATACCATGTATGTATTTGTCCTTATTCCTTATACACGCACGGGGAAACACTCAACATCTCAACATATATATATATATATATATATATATATATATATATATGAAAAAAATTATTTCGGTTGAGATCTCAGGGGAGGAAGTGTGGGCTTGTAAACAGTGACTATTACGGCTAATAATGCAGGACTCTTCGGTAAATCGAATCGAGTTCTCTCAATCAATGTGTGTTTATTTAAAAATAAAATACGCTTAAATTCAACTTCAACACTGTCGTGCGCCAACGGCTTACTGGTAGAATCCCCGTTGACGCCAATTCAGTGGGGCTTTGATCTTAGCTAGAGGCAACCGGACGTCTAGCCACACCGATGTGCTGTGATACAGCGAAACAGTCTGTCTGGATTACATTATATATATATATATGAATTTAAAGCCTGTGAATGGTTGTTTGGGAACCTTGTGTCACATTGTGCACCAACTATCTATTTTATCTTACATTTGTTCTTTCTCTTATTGGGATATTTCGCTCTCATTACGGTAGAGCACTGTCTACATTTATTTTTTACATGGAAAAACATAACTTTGAAAGAACATTCCCAACACAAACAAACGGGGTTATTTCGTAAAACTTGTTCAGAAAACTGAAGATTTACTAAGAAGGATGAGAAGGAAGGCATATTGTTTCCTTCATGATAACAACTTTTCGAAAGAACCGGATGTTTATGGTTTCAAAGGCTTAAAAGCTGCACCATTCATCGAACGGTTATTTTGTTTTGAAAAGGATTTATTAGAAATTATTAACAGTATCTCTTTTCATAAAGATAAAAATCATTTTCAGAGACACCGGGACCTAGTTGTAAAAGACATTCATTCGTCTGACAAGGTTTCTGTCAAATCTTACAAAACAGCCAACTTCTACAAAATTACTCCTAAAGATTGCAATATTTTCATTAGAAATCATAGACAAGTAGATAATAATACAGTTAATTTAGTTGACAAAATTAATGAAACATGTAAACATACTACACAAATTAAAAATCAGCAACAGAGCTAGAAAACTTTGTACTAAAGAATTATAAAAACCAAAAACCCGATTTTCAAGTTAATCTTCCCAACAGGATTATCAACATTACAAGCCCAGAAATTGGTAGAATTAGCAAGATTGTTCTTGATAGAGTCAACAAGTTGATTAGAAAGCGGCTTAGACTTGTATAATGGCTTAATACCACAGATATCATCAATATATAATGATATAATTGATAAAAGAAATTTTTTATTGATCCAGTGAGATATTATGGGTTATTACCCATCTATTTCCAGGAATCTGTTTACTTTGGCTTTGGAGTTTGCAACAGAGTATTCTGGTCTTTCCAACGAGGAACTTGAAATTGTTATGAACTCTAAAAGAACAGTGGATTAAGAAAAACACTTTTGACTAATTCTATATTTCCATGTGATTGTTAGACTCTGAGGAGGCTTTTGATCTAGTTGGTCTATTCATTTTATATAATCTTAGTGCCCCACCAGATATCAACATTGAAGACATAGAGTTATATCGAGATGATAGCCTTATGGCGGTGAAAAATTCTACAAAAATTTAAAGCTTACAAGATCAGGAAATTAATACATAGAAAAGTTAAAATTTTCAACCTTAAAGATATAATTGTTTAAAAAAAGTAATTTCCTTGATGTTACACTAGACCTAGTTAATAATACATACCAACCCTACCCGAAAACAAACGTAAATCCAGTATATATATATCCACCCAAATTCTAACCACCCTCCATCCATAATCAAACACATAACCTCCTCCGTGGAATATAGAATTAGCAATAACTTTTCCAGTGAAGATGTCTTTTACAAACATAGTAAATTTTATAACATTGCCTTAAAAATATTAGCTGACATTAAATATAGGAAATATAATAGTATTAGTGGGAAAAAAATAGAAACAGAAGAATCATTTAGTACCTCCCCCATTTAACCAAATGGTTAGTACTAAGTTAGGGCAGAAGTTTCTTGATTTAATTGAGAAACACTTCCCCGTAAATAATCCACTTAGTAAGATTTTCATAGAGATACACAAAAACTAAGCTATAACTGTACAGATGAACTTGAAAAATTAATAAAAAAACATAATAATAAAATTCTAAATCAATACAAAAACCTAAGTAATGATTGCCATTCCAAAGCACCAAACCCTGATAATACCAACAAGCGTAATTGTAGAAACTCTAACGAGTGTCCATTACAAAATAGGTGGCAAACAGTGTTTAACTAAGCACGATTTCTCCTATAGAAAATCTAATAGTTAAAAATAGGTGGTATCACAATATATTTCACCATCAACGCATACATACAGAAATAGGACGTCTCTTTCTAAATATTTTTGGACATTAAAAAGTTAACAAAACAACTACAGTAAAATGGAAATATTCAAAAAATTAGAACATGCAAATCTTTAAATAAAACATGTTTCCTATGTTTACGTGAAAAATTAAAAATAATAAAATTTGCTGTCAAAAAAGCTCTGTTAAATCAAAGGAGCAAATTAACAGTAAACTGCCGACACGGTTTATCTTTACCTTAAAATACAGTTAAAATATTTTTAGAAAAATAATTACGTCTTACCATTTTTTATATCCATAATTTATTAGTATATAATGGTCAACCCAATGCGAGTAATTATCTTATTTTGTTTATTCAGCTTAAATATTGCTATGTATTGCTGACTATTTATCATTATTAACATCGTATATAGACGTTCAACATTTTTAATTTTATCGACAGCCGCTTTAAGAATCTTCCTGAATATAAATTTTAAAAAAAGATTTCTGTTAATTTTACGTCTGATTAAACTACCCCTCCCTTCAACAAATAGGACCTGTCATATTTATCTACTATCACAATATACTTGTCATTGACATATTCTCTGCAATCGCAAAGGTGTGCTTTTCCTCCATGACAACGCCAGTCCGCATGTCGCGCGAGTGGTCAGGGATACCATACAGCAACTTGGGCGGGAGACTTTGTGCCATCCACCTTATTCATCTGACCTTGCGCCATCCGATTACCACCTCTTTAATTCCCTGGATAATCATCTTCGTGGGAAATCCTTCACCAATGAAGCAGACTTGCGCAAAGCCCTGACGGACTTCTTTGCGTCAAACCCCCGCTGATTTCTACCGCAAGGGCATTGAACAGCTGGAGACACGTTGGCAGAAGGTGCTGGATGCCGTTGGCGATTACTTCGAAGACTAAATATAAGTTACACATACTGTGAAGCGTTTTCTTTTTTTTCCTTTTTCCACAGTTCTAACCATTCAAAAATATATATATATCGCACGTTGAATTGCGTTGTACATGAAACGCCCCGAGTCGTGCTACAGGTGAGGGAAAAATATATATGCAATATTCGATATATGCTTTTGGGGTGAGATCTTGTCCCTTTAGCCGTTACTGACGATTGTTTCAAACTTACAGCTCTCTATAAATTACCAGGCTGTAGCCAATGAAATAATATCTATCAGACGGACAACATATGAATCTTCATCATTACTGAGGCAGCACTTGAAGAAATACAAGAGAAGAAAGATGAACCTAGGACATTTTATCAACATTGTTTTATCCGAATATAGAACATCTTTATTTAGGACCTTTTTTTGTCACTTCCTCAGGTGTATATTGCTCTGGTTAAACTACTGCCAATTCTGAACTGAATCTTTATCTATTCTATGCGAGTAGACTGTCCTCGTTCCACTGCCCATGTCTAGGGATACCATCTAGTTCTAATTTTACTAGTGCGCAGTTATTTCTCGCCCTATCCACTGAGTCGAAGCACACACACACACACACACACACACACACACACACACACTATATATATATATATATATATATATATATATATATATCGAGGGTAATTTGCAGTCGCCTGAGGAGACACACTGATATGCGTCATAACTCGAGTGTAATTGTGTAGCGATTTTTGCCATGTTTTTGATTTAATATCCTAAAATAAATAAATATATATATATATATATATATATATATATATATATATATATATATATATATTATGAAATGGAATGGACAAAGTCCGACAATTATTTAAGACATTTTTTTATGTTTATACGTTCTTTTTATAGATAATAATATTTAAGTAAATGCTCTGTTTATAATAAACTGTATTAACGACATTTACTGTTTTTAAACTCATGGAGAATTGTAGTTTTAAGACAGTAAAATCGACCTTGATAACCGAAACGCTCCTCTGTGACTAAATCGGTAAAGCACGTCAGGCTATATGACGGTTCCTTATTGGATACCGGTTCGATTCCTGTCGGAGGACGCATATTTTCTATGAAAATTTCTCGGACATTCAGGCCGGTAAATGTTAATACTGTTTATTATAAACAGTGCATTTACTTAAATATTTGTATCTATAAAAAGAACGTAAAAACATAAAATGTCTTAATATATATATATATATATATATATATATATATATATATATATATATATAACATCTAACATGCTGTGAAAATGATCATGTTATATACAATACCAGTAAGTACCTTCTGCTAAGCTCTAACTTTGTAAGAGCCATATCAGGCCGAAAATGTAGTACATCTGTCATATCTAACTGAAACTACATAATCCTCACTATCAAAACTTGATGGATGGAGTTCAAAATCGTCCACGCGACCTTATGGGTGATGAAGTATTTTCAACCCTACAACCTGTTTCCAATGTCGTAATGTCGTCAATATCTCTCTACTCTATCGCTGTTTCCATGAAAAATGTTTGCGATGAGCGGTATTCCTTATTTTCACCAATTCTATCCATGACACAGAAAAACCTTCTGTGCCTACATTCCTTTTGTATTTCATTAGTAAGACAGCTGTCCGAATAGGTCAGCCGCTTAACAGTAACCCCTATTCTGTGAAAAAAATCCCGCGAGGATGCTTTCCCGATCACCATATTCTCATCCTCTTCAAGTCTAGAATTAATCGTCATCTATCCTATATTTCAACTTCTTCTATTTTGAGTGGCACTTGGGCCTTCTGTTGCGTGAAAATTAGCCAAAAAGAACGTCCTTATATGTACGCATCAGTAAGTGAGTTGTATTGATTCATTTTCCTATTTATTTTAATGTTATATTCTCCTGTCCCAAAAAAATCGACAGAAAAAAAATCTCCAAGACAGTTTTTCAAATGCCAAAATAATACTGCAAATGTTAGCAACTGACAAGGGTTACTTGTAAGACTTGACTAACACTGATAACCTTTAAAACAGCCAAGGTAAACTATCGACTTAAGATGAATCAGTTATCTTCTCTTAGAAGCAATTGATGATAATTTGTCAAGATTCTCGTGAAACCGCAAGTCGCCCGTTCATTAATCGACATTTGCCACAATCTACAAAGATTTAAATAGCTGAGATGGACTGATTCGCTTTTTCAAGACAAACATTATTTTCTAGATTTTATTTTTTTATTTTTATTGATGTTTTTTTAATTTTTTTTTTTAAATTTTTTCTTTAGTATATTTTGGTTAGAAATTCATCAAATATAAAATTTTTAATTTTTCCCAGCTGATCCATTTTCGTATTTTATATTTTTCCGTCTGATTTCTAGTCTTCTTCCCGCTCGAAAAAAATGGCGCTAAAATATCTTCCATTTAAAGCTGCTTATTAATATTTATCGAATAGTAAAACAAAACAAATATGTTTTTCAGATGAAGCATTGTCATTATTTACACTATTTATATCGTTCGGACTGTTGTCCTCATTTTCATTGGCATATGCATGACATTTCGGCGTTGTACGGTCCTGTATTCTTCAGAATTGTCTCTATGTTTTAGATGAGGTAATGCAACTTTTTACACTATTTACATCATTCGGACTGTTGTCATCATCTTTAGCACCATATTCACGACGTTTCGGTCGTTGTCCTTTTTCAGGATCTGTCTATATTTCTGTGATAAAGTATTATAACTATTCACATTATGTACATCATTCGGACTATTATCCTCATTTTTGTTGCCTATTCACGATGTTTCGGCCGTTGCATGATACAGCCTTCTTCTGGATCTGTCTATATTTATGATATTAGGTATTGTATCTATTTATACTATTTAAATCATTCGAATCCTCTTTTTATTGCCATATTCACAACGTTTCGGCCGTTGTACTGTCCGGCCTTCTTCAAGATCTGTCTTTATTTTGGAGATGATTTATAGTAATTATTTACACCATTCAGACTGTTATGCTCATTTTCATTGCAATATTCATGGCGTTTCGGCGTTGTACGGTCCGGCCTTCATATTTCTGAGATGAGGTATTTTCATTATTTACACTATTTACATCGTTCGGACTTTGGTTCTCATCTTTATTGCCATGTTCACGGCCCAGTGGATAAAAGTGTTGCTTGAGTAATCCAAAAATTGACTGGACCCGAAAAGTTTGAGTTCAATACCTGGCCACGGCATAGGGAACAAAAACTTGGAGATTTGAGCTACCAAAGATTGAGAAATCCCAAAAAAGCATGAGAAGATGTATTAGAACAATCTGACCCCTTGGACTAAATCAAGGATTCGGCTCGAAATTCCAACGTGTATCACCTGAAAAGGCCGGAGCGTATAACGACCGAAACGCCGTGAATATGGCTATAGTTTAAGGACGACAGTTCCAACAATGGAAATAGTGTGAATATAAAGAAAATGTCGAACGTTGACTTTCGAAGCTAATAAAATATCAGTTCGCGTATAGCCCGGTTTACACTTCTTCCTCGTTTTTTTTAACAGAATTAGAGTTCTTTTTTAAAATCAATTCAATCCAAGCAAGGTGATAATAAGTGAAAAAGAATGGAAAAAACTTAAGAAGTAACCCGATCCTAAACAGGAAACAATGGATAAAAATCTACTTCTGTTCAAAATACTGGAGAGGAGTGTGAACAGGACGATAGGCAAACCTATCTACTCCTATTCAGAAAGAACAAAAGCGTAAAAGAATAGTAAATTAAATTATCCTTTGTTTCCAGTATAAAAATGAGTTTCCGTTCCATTTGCTTAAAATGTTGTCATTTCCTCCCCACACCCAGTAACCACTTGCGTCTTTGTGGAATTATCACCTTGATTAGGATAATGGGATTAAAAAAAGAAAGTTGCCTGCTGTAAACCAAGCAAGATTCATATATTTTACCAGTATAGTAATCATGGCGTACATTTTTATGGCCTTGTATCAGATTCAACTAAGCATAACAATTAAAAATACTTTTCCTTAGAGCGCCATTACATTTCGATCTGGTTCTGTTTAAATGTACTTATATTCAGAACCTTAATCTGATAGCCCTGTGCCAAACTGTATCCGAAGTAACTTCACTAAGTCTCTAACTGATTTGATTTTCCTCCGTATCATTTCCTATCTGATTCTTTTTCTATCTATCTATCTATCTATCTATCTATCTATCTATCTATCTATCGTTGTGTTCTCAGGAAATATCAGCTCTCTTTCTGATGCTATGTATAAGCATCTTTTTTGTTTCCATTTTCTCTTTAACACTATTTGGGTTGCTCGTAATTAATAATAATAATAACGATTGGAATATCAACGAAAACGAGATAATGATAACTTAGCCTGAAAAGGGTTAAAAAATATCAAGATCGATAGACCGATAATAAATGGTTCCCAGAGTATCGAGATTTATACAATAAACCAGATGACCGGCTAAAAGAAATGCTCAGTTGCTGCAAACAGGTTAAGTGTTGACAATCTTCGGCAAACAATAACTGGATGTGACATGAGGAAAATTGGGTTAAGCCAAATGAATTCATTTTGCCAGATGTCAGGATGGAAAATAATAAATTGAACACCTGCAGAATTTTGACCATTGGATGGACGAATTTTCATCTTAAAGTGAATTGCAAAAATTTCCCTGGGAAAGTGGCTCTTGAGTCAAAGGCGACAAAACCAATTGTTGTGTCAATTCACTTATGAGATAGTATCAATTAGAATCGTAATTTTAAAAAAAATTAATCTTCGACCGAATGCTGGAGGTGACGGGCGTAGAGGTGAGATCAAGGAAGGATGAGGGGCTGCCTTCACCCACTGAAGGGTAGCAGGTACAGACGAGACATTAAGGAGGTTGAAGGAACTGCCCACGCCCACTGGAAAGCACTGGTGGGAGATGGTAATAGGAGAAAGTAGAAGTAACCAGGCAGAGCGATGTCATGGCAGAAGGAGAATTCCCCCAAATTATGAAGTAATTTATTTTCTCAGTATCAAAAAGTATAGATTCACCGAAACCCAACCTGCATCTTGCCCCGCACCAGTTTCTAGTTGAAGTCCATGAAAATGAATGCTCGAAAGCCATTCAGATAGTAGAGAACTGAAAGTAGACAGTTGACAGTTGAGAGCTGAGAAGAGAAGCGGGGGGTCGCTGAGAGATTTCACAACTCCTGTCGAACACAAGAACCTCTGACTTCATGCTTGAGCCAAACTTACGAAATCAGTAAGACAAATTTCGCTAAATCTGCAAGCCAAATAACTTACCAGCTTACCCAAGTGTTGCCTCCGATTTACGAACGGGCTGGGTCGACAAACACCTGCATGCGAACACAACTACTAACGAAACAGTGTATGCAGTATTCGATATAAAAATAGTAATTCTTTTCTTATATATATTCCAAATGGTTTTTTTCTTCCAATTTTATTGTACGACCTCACTCGACTTGGACCAGCCCAGCACGAAGATAACTGCGACGAATCGATTTTGGACTCTTTATAATCAAATAAATCACAACATGGGGTAAAGCAGGTCAGGATCGAAGAGATCATTCCATTGATCAAACCAGGATCCAGCCCTGAGCTAAACATTACGAAAAGTTACATCTGTTGCTGTTTGCCGTGAACTAGGATCGATCTTGAAGTGTTACACTTCGTTGTTGTTATCATGATCGTTTCAGGGTATTCTGAACATCTTTCAAGTTATGTTTTCATCTGTGAGGAGATTGTCAAGAATTCACTGCCATATAGGAGGATTAATATTACGTAACAGTCCAGTACTCTTTATTTTGTTTCTAACGAAATTTTCTTGTTTCTTAATACTTTGCTTCCTTTTTGAAAGGCACTTTATGCCGTTCCAGTATGCCTTCTTATTCCAGTGTCACACTTTCCATCTTCTATTAAAATCCTTCCCACATATTTAAATTGTCGTACTTGTTACATTATCTCCAATTTGTAATCTGCATGTTCGGCTTCTTCTTTTGCTAATAAACAATGCATTCTTATTGTTTTGAAGTTGATGTTTAGTACATTTTTCTCGCGTTCCTTCAGTACCTTGGAGTTTATTAGAGTACCCTTTCTATGTCTGTTATCAACACATTGTCATTGGCATATCGTATACTATTAAGATTGTGGCGGCCGATAATGAATCCTGCTAGAATTTGTAATTTTCTCAGGATCTCTTCACTGTACAGATTGAATAATTCCGGTGAAAAAAAAAAACATAATTTTCTTAGACGCCTTTTTATTTTTTGTATATGAACAGAATTCATTTTCTGTCCATTAGTAGGCGGTTTTATGTCAGTTTACGTTCTGGACTGTAAATATGTTTTAAATGCAGACAAGAAAACAATTTTTTATTACGTTACATAAAGATCGAAAATTAAAAAGAACAAGAAAAACAAAATAAAACATATAAATGAATAAATATATTTGGATGGCGCTTTTTTTAAACAATATTTATAAAAAAAACAAACATAACAATTCAACAACAACATTTTAAAATGATGATACCGGAGAGTATTCACCATCTTCTTCAATAACTGCTTCCCATTTACTTGGAAGACGTTCGATTCCACAGGCAAAGAAGTCACGGTTCTTGGAGACAATCCATGCTTTGACATTGGTCACCAAGTTATTCAAATCGGCATAAACTTTGTTGACCTGCCAATGTTTCAGAAATCTGTCATTAGTATTTGCTTGGTGCGTAATTATCAGGCGTTTTCCAACAATATTTATTATAAAAAAACAAACATAACAATTCAACAATAACATTTTTAAATGGTTATTCCGGAGCGTAGTCACTATCTACTTCAATAACTGCTTTTCATTTTCTTGGAAGACGGTCGATTCCACAGGCAAAGAAGTCACGGTTCTTAGAGGCAATCCATGCTTTGATATTGGCTATCGAGTTATCCAAATCGGCATTGGGCACCTCGAGGTGGTGTAATGGTTAGCAAGCTTGTCTTGCTAGAACAATTACGACTGAGTAGTGAGTTCTATCCTCACTGGGTGCGCCATACTTTGGGCCTTGTGCCACATCTGAGCTACGCTTGGAAAATCACGATCCAAATCGGCATAAACTTTGTTCACGTGCCAATTTTTCAGCGATCGATTGACGTGATCGTCCGTAGGCGCTTTTGTGGGTGAATATGGCAGAAGCAGTTTTCAGCCCTTATTGGTGATACATTCGACAACACGACACTCAATATGTGGGCGAACATTATCGTTGGTGGAAGATGATATGGTTCTTTTTGCGCTACCTTTTCGTCTCGATTGCAGTGTGAAGGCGATCAAGTTGAGCCAGATAGATATCACTGTTGATGTTCAATTGCCGCTTGCAGTTTTTTGTCTGAAATCTGCCATTGTTGCCACTCATCGTCGTCATTCCATAAATAACAAATCCCGTTTGAGATGATTTCCCAAAGGATCATTTCGCTTCTGTCTCACCAAACACACCACATTGCCTTCATTCAGTGCACATTTTTTGGTATTCCTTTTGGTGCTACTCCTTGCAAAACGCAGACCTTCTTTCTTTTGTCGTTTCTCAAAAGAAGCCATGATTCATTCCCAGTGACAAGATTATTCAGAAACGGTTCTTGCTCGTTTCATTACAGCAAATCAGTGAAAATTGCGGACACGTTCGGTTTTATTGTTGTCGGAGAGTTTGTGAGTGACCCATCCAGCCAATTTTTATACCTTTCCGAGCTTTTTGAGAAGATGAACAATGTTTAAATGGTCCACATTTAAGTCTTCGGCCAGCATTCGGGTTGTTAAGCTTTGTTTCTCTTCCACGGCTGCCAAAAAGTGGCTGATCATCAAAATCTGATGGTCGACCTCTTCCTGGCTTATCTTCCAAACGAGTGTCGCCAGATTTGAAACGGGTAAATGACTTCGCTGTTTTCTCTTCTTTTTCGAAATGGTAAAGCATAATATGACGAATATGATTATGATTATCGACACGCATTTTTATAACCTGAAAAAAAAATTATTTTTATTAAAAAAGTAAATAAAACAGCAATTTTTATTAACAAATAACTCGCCTACAAAAATCCCTGATGATTATGCACCAACTCAATTATATGGAATTAAGAAATAAATAATTATAATATTGACGTGAATAGCTGCATTCAGATCCACACTTATTTCTCTTCTATTAGCCTACAGAGCAATTTGAAACATAACCTCTGCCTTCCACCCAATAACCGTTAGGATGATACAGTAGACATTCTACCCATAATGCACCACTGACCAGTATATATAAATAGTCGAGCTAACATACAACACACGTGGCCTGAAGATTGCATTTAAGCATTAAACAGATTGTCGCCGCTGGATGTTGACCTCAATTTTCACTTCAATATTTATTTATGCTTTAAGATTACGCACACATTAAACTATATATATATATATATATATATATATTAAAACATTGTTAGTGGTACAGAAATTGAGTATTGCTTTATAAACATTAATCTGAATATTATTTTGCATAATTAAAAAAAATGTGGAAAACAATGGGTTTTGTTTCCGCTTTTCAAATTTATTAATCGAGAGAAAAAGAGTAAAAAATGCAATAAATCTAAATTAGCGAATAACTGATGAGTGGATAAAGAAGGAAGAAAAATGGGGGCATAGTAGAGATTAATGATAGCCAGCCCTAGCAGACAATCACGCTGTTTACAGAGAGACTGTTTACAAAACTTGATATAGAGTACTGTATAGAGTGTGTGTGTGTGTGTGTGTGTGTGTATTATACTAATAATTATACTCGGTTGGAAAAAAAACTCGAATAGCACAACTTGTAAGTATATCAAAACAAATTGGTATCCGAGGAAAAAACTGGAAAACAAAGAAAGAACTAGAGACATTCGAACAGGGCGAAAAAAAAAATCGCCCAGTTCCTTAAGTTTTCAGTACAAAGAAAAAACAACAACCGATTAACAAAGCTAATATGTAAAGTGCTCAATGCGCTAAGTAGAGAGCAAAGATATATAAAATAAATTTTAAAGATCCAGGAACGATCTACCAAGGTTTCACCTGAACGTCTCTTCGGGGTAATCTGAAGCCAGACTACTCTGAAGATCCATTCAGGTGAAACCTAGGTAGGTAGTTACTGGCTCTTTAGGATTATATATTGAACGCATGTACACATCAAGTGTTCCAGACCAGCTGCAATTTTCAGCTGAGCACCGTACTCCAAGTCCAGCACGTTCCTTCCTTGTAACATCCTGAACTTCTACCTGTTTTTACCATCACTTCAACTGCTGACATCACGTCTGACACTTTCCACTTTTTTCCTGTCTTCACCTCTGGCACATTTTTCCGGATTACAGCATCTTTAGATTCACACAACATGGACTGCAATCTCACCTTTGCCACCTTGTACGCCCCCACCAAAGAAATAACAGGTAACTGAAGGTCCCCCGAGCTGCTATACAAAGCGACCGGCGACAGAATCCTCGCAACAACAAGCCACTTCGATATACATTTACTGACTTTCCTCTCAATTGTCTTAACTCAAGACAGTGACACCTCATATATAGTCAGCGGCCACATTAGTCTTGGCATCAATCCAAAATGCATACACGAAAATTAAAGTTTCCCGGGAAACTCACATTGGTCTTTTCTTCGCAGACTCGTCGTTGGATTTCAACCCCGCGGTGACGATCTGTCACAGGGAAGTTATACCACCTCCCAAAACTAACCACACCTTACTCCCGCACTGTTGGTATCTTTTCACCTGCGACGGAAAACACTTCATGTATGACAGAACCTACCTTCATAGACAGTGATAGAAGATTGCATTTAAGCATAAAACAGAAAAATACCAAAATTTTCTTTCAAATATTTTTTATTTTCCCGAGTAATTTCAGACTAATTTAAGACCATCTTTGGGTAATTAAATTGTTTTCGTATGTGCATATGTATTTCTGTATATATAAAATTCCTTTCAAATAATTTTTATTTTCCCCAGTACATTCAATCTCATCTGAGACCAGATTCGGGTAGTTAAATTGTCTTCGTATGTGTACATGTATTTCTGAAAATATAAAACATTTTTACTGTTCGTTTTACTGCGTTTTTTATCATTCGCTATCAATTTCAAATTCATGCAAGGAAGGCAACTTTTTATTTCCTAATTTATTATTTTTTTTATTATATATATATATATATATATATATATATATATATATACAAACATTGCTGCTACAAAATTTGACCACTTTATAACTATACTCATATTCTTTTTTGGGATTTGCGGACGTTTCGCCAATGTATATCATTGGATAATTTGTACAACTTATTTGCATATTCCTGCCTCTGTCCTGATGCCGTTTCTATCTTGTATGGTGCTAATTGTAATTTTTAATTTTTTTAGAGGTTGTGTTGATTTTAGATTAAGATTGGATAAGTTATTTTATGCTGGATCATATACAGTTGGTAAGTAGGATTATATACCTGCATTTGTATGGGTGTTAGGCCTATTATTATCTGTGTATTGTGCTTATTTTGCTCTTTCTCACGCATATATATATATATATATATATATATATATATATATATATATATATATATATATATATATATTTAAGCGTTTCACCCAAGCAAGGAAGAAGCCACTAGAACGCAAAGGGGTTACAGAAAATTTGGAGCAAGATCAGATAGGAGTGATAGAGGAAAAGGTGAGAAGAAGGGTAGTGGATAGATCAAGCCATCTGGAGACGTCGATCGACATTACATTTGAATAGCTGGAGATTATAGCTATCAGGGAAACTGGAATAGGGAAGGGAGTTCCACAAGAGAGAGGTGCGAGACATAAAGCTATTAGAGTAGAAAAGACGGCTACATTTAGGAGTTTCGACAGTGAAAGGGTGAGAGCGGGATGCCAGCCTCGTAGGGCGCTTGAACTCATGGAGTCTGGGAACCAGCGAATGCAGCTCCTCGGAGCAATTGCTATGAAAGTATTTGTGTATATATATATATATATATATATATATATATATATATATATATTATCATCCACAGACAGACTGTTTCGCTGTATCCTAACTCATCAGTGTGGGTAGACGTCCGTTTACCTCTAGCTAGAATTGAAACACAACTGAATTGGCGTCAGTCGGAGATTCTACCACTAATCCGTTGACGCACGGAAGGGACGAAGGGGAATTTTAAGCGTATTTATTTTTAGATAAACACACAGTTACTGAGAGAACTCGATTCGATTTAACGAAGGGTCTTGCATTATTAGCCGGAATAGTCACTATTTACAAAACACACTTCCTCCCTAGAGAGCTCAACATAAATAAATTTTTCAGGAGCACATCTATTGTCATCCACAGACAGATTGTTTTATATATATATATTTTAAATTAACTGATTTCAAATATGGTTTCTTCGCTACACAGGAATTATCATGTTCCAAAACCGATACAAGCATATATATATATATATATATATATATATATATATATATATATATATATATATATATATATAGATAGATAGATATAAAGAAATATAGTCTTAAGGTGTGCTATATTTATGGAATAAAGAATATCAGAGATAGAGCGTGTGTAAATATAAAAATGAACATAGAAGTTTAAGGGCGACAGTCTGTTTCTATATATGCAATCGTTATGCTGTTATTTTTCTCGACTATTTATATAAAACGGGTTATTGGGTGCGCATTGTGGTATTCTATTATTCAGTTATTTTACCGGAAGTCGTTTGTTTTTATTTATTTGGGTCTAAATTATATTGCTCGTTTTTATTTTTTTGTTTCTTATTTTATTTATTTATTAACGTAGTAAAAAATTGTTTATATCACTTATTTAACAGTTTTGTTTTGGTTTGAGAATTTAATTGAGCTATTTGTTCAAATTTTTTGGGGTTGGTTGTTTGTAGTTCATTCTAACTATTATTTTATTTTTTAATTTGGGATTGGTTTGTCTATTTATTTATTGGATGAATTCAGGTCAATTTATTTGTATATTTTCTCTTTTCGGTTTTCGGTTTTTAAGCAACATATATATTTATTTATTTATTTTATTTTATTTTATTTTATTTTTTTTTATATATATATTTGTTTTTTTTTATTTTATTTTTTTTCCGTTTTTCATTTTTTAGGTTACGTAAAAATTTATTTTCATGTCTGCATTTTGAGATGAGGTCGGATCTTTTATTTAATAATTTATTTTGGTGGGGAAAGTAATGATAATTTTTTCCTCCAAGCAAAGTTTGCTAGTTTTTTGATTGGTTGTTGAGGCTGGAAAATTTTCCTTATCTTTCAAGATATTTTTAGTCTGCTTTTGTTTTAAATCCAGATATACTTAGAGCATATTTACTATTTGTGAAAGATAAAAATTTCTTTGTGAACAGTTACTCTATGAAGTTTTTTCAATCTGGTGATTTTAGAGGCGATATTACGTTTTTTAGTAAACAGTCATTCGTTCTTTATTCTGCAGTTGCACGGGTTTAATTTGTTCGTGGGTTTGTTGATAATTTTCCTATTGCTTTTTATATTGTGCATTATTTGTGCCATGCTCTCGGTGCATGTTCCGTCAAAATAATAATAGAAATGAACTCAATCAACCCCAAAAATTGAAAAAATAGCTTCAATTAAATTCTCAAACCAAAACAAAACTATTAAATAAGTGATATAAACAAATTTTTACTCGAGCAATATAATTTGATAAATAAAACAACGATTTCAGTAAATAACCGCCATAATA